AAGCCCTGTGTTCATTCATTGATTCTGTCGCTCTCTCTTCTCTCCAGCAGACGTCCGGTGTGGTAGGGCAGCCGCCTGTTGAATCCGGTTTTCCTTTGGGTTAAATGCCCTGGACAACACCCACCATTTACACTTTACCCTCATGCACATCCTACACTACTGATAATACTGACATTCACATCCCATCTGGAATGGTTGTGGTTTTTCGTTGTTTTGTGTGTTAAATAAAGAATGTTACACCTCGGAAACCAGTGTAACTCCAATCTTGTCATGGCCCAAAGAGCCAGGTCGTGACAAATGGGGGCTCGTCCAATTCTGGTCAGTGATTTGTTTAATGATCAAGTGTGTAGATTTCGTGTGACGCGTGTCTTTGTTTACGTGTGGATCAGCTGTGAGCGGTTGGTGCGCGTTTGGTTTGGTGGTGATCGCCAGGTTGTCTCTGTTGCGGAAAGTTTGGGAGTCATGCTGGATTTTGAAGGTTTTGCTCTGGTCCGTTGTCGTTGTAGTTCTCTGGTCCGTTGTAGTTCTCTGGTCCGTTGTAGTTCTCTGGTCCATTGTCGTTGTAGTTCTCTGGTTCGTTGTAGTTCTTTGGTCCGTTGTAGTTGTAGCTCTGGTCCGTTGTAGTTCTTTGGTCCGTTGTAGTTAAGCGTTTAGAGGTTTTTTTTTTTTTCTCTTTTTCGCGAAGTCGATTGCGCGTGGTCCAAAGAGAAAGTACGTGTTGCCGACCTGATGTGCTGTGTTTGGAGTTTCCCTGTCAGGTTATAGTGGCGTCTCCCCTTTGGGTTACGTCAGTTTTTTTTGTAGTGTTGTGGCAACGTGGTTAGTGTCAGCTGTCTATGGACGGTTGTCTCGGGAGCACGTCCGTGGGATCCTGCATTGTGGCCTACTTGTGGGTGACTTCTCAGACCTGCTGGTTTCCAGTGCGTAATTACCCACCGCAAGCTGCATGAAGACTAGGTGAGTTTAGTAAGAGTTTGGACTAGGCAGTTAGGGGGAATACTCCGCGGGGCAAGTTGCCTTCGTTTGTGTGCGTTTGGGGGGTAATACGGTGCGTTCTGTTTGGTCTATGTCTTCCTTGTCGGGTTTTTTTGATGCGCCCTCTGAGGTGTTCATTAATGGCTGTACTAAAGAACAGTTGCTCCAGATAGCCGAGCATTATACAATCGATGTGACTAATATCAAACTTAAGGCTGAGGTGAAAGCTGTTGTTCTGTCCGTTTTAGTGGAAAGTGGTGTTTTGAGGACGGAGGAGTATTTGTCGGACGTGGCAGCTGTGGCAACACCTGTGTCTGCACCCATGTCGGGGCTGACTTTTGAGCAGCAGAGGGAGCTGCTGATGATCCGGTTAAACTTGGAAACTGAGCGGCAGATTCAAATCGAAAAGGTTCGGCAGCAAACAGAAAAAATGAAACTGGAATTGCAGCAGTATAAATTGAGTTTGATTTGTGACGGTAAGCTTTCACAGACTATGGCAGAGGAAGGTTTCCCGGAGTCTGTTCGTCTCGGGTTCGATGTTGGGGCTAATTTGCGTTTAATGCCCAGATTTAATGAGAAGGATCCTGATACATTTTTCACTTTGTTTGAGCGTGTTGCAGATGCAAGAAATTGGCCGGATGCTGACAGGACCTTGATGCTTCAGTGCGTACTTACGGCTAGGGCCCAGGAAGCATATTCAGCGCTGCATGCGAGTGAGTGTATGAATTATGCCAAGGTCAAATCTGCTGTCTTGAAAGCGTATGAGTTGGTTCCTGAGGCTTACTGCCAGAAGTTCAGGAAGTGTGAGAAAAGTGGTGAACAAACTAATGTGGAATTTGCTCGTGATTTGTTGTGCCATTTCAACCGTTGGTGTTCCGCTGCATCTGTTGAGAGTTTTGATGGACTTTGTGACTTAATAGTGTTGGAACGGTTTAAAAATTCGATTCCTCCACGTATTGCAGTGTATGTAAGTGAACAGAAGGCAGCTACTGCACTTAGAGCAGCTGAGCTGGCGGACGATTTTGTGTTGACGCACAAAAGTGGTTTTGGTGAGATGTGCTCAACCAGTGATAGAGGACGTGAAGGTAACATCCTTGGGAGCGCTCGGTTCGGGGTCCAGTCCTTAGTAGCCCGTCCCACGCATGCATTTAGAGGGTGAGAGATGATGGTGGCAGAGAGGGCATATGTCATTACTGTCAGGGTTCGGGCCACTGGAAAGATCAGTGCCCTGTACTACAAAATAGGGATAAACGAAAGTCCTATCCATCTGCTACTGCTCTGGCCTGTTCCAGTGTGGAGGGGCCAAGTCGTGTATGTGTCAGTCCAGAGAGTGATTTTGAGCCGTTCGTTGCTGATGCTCTAGTTTAGTATGTCGGTACTGGGGGGAAACCACTGGTTGTGTATACCAATCATAACCCTTTGACATTTTTGAGTTCGCTGCACTGCCCAAACCAACGTCTGATGCGGTGGACTTTGTTTCTACAAAGTCATAATTTAGACATCAGGCACATTAAAGGCAGAGACAATATAATGGCAGAAGCTTTTTCTCGCCCCTGTGGGCTAAATGGTCTGAATTGTAGTGGTCAGGATTAATATTGTGATTATGAAATGTAACTCCTGTCATCCTTCACTTTGTTCTCGTCTCTCTTAAAATGCTTCTTTTAGGTACCTGGTTGCAGAGCTGGGGCGTAGTTTCAATGTGGAGGGTGCTATGGTAGTATGGTTTTTTGTTGTTGTGGTTTTTGGAGTTTGCGGTGATCCCTGTTGGGACCCCGTCTTAAGGGGGGAGGTGTGACGACCCTTGCTGTGGAGGCAGCAGCCTTCCAATGAGATTTGGTGATTGAAGGCACCTGGGCTGGGTGCCCTGAGATTAGAAAGCCCTGTGTTCATTCATTGATTCTGTCGCTCTCTCTTCTCTCCAGCAGACGTCCGGTGTGGTAGGGCAGCCGCCTGTTGAATCCGGTTTTCCTTTGGGTTAAATGCCCTGGACAACACACACCATTTACACTTTACCCTCATGCACATCCTACACTACTGATAATACTGACATTCACATCCCATCTGGAATGGTTGTGGTTTTTCGTTGTTTTGTGTGTTAAATAAAGAATGTTACACCTCGGAAACCAGTGTAACTCCAATCTTGTCATGGCCCAAAGAGCCAGGTCGTGACAGTCGTGTTGAATGTGGTCTGTTAGAGCGCCTCAAGGAGAACAGGGTCGCATTAGACCAGAGAATTGTGTGAGCCAGCCAGAGTGCATTGACATAATACCGTGACGGTCCACGGAACAATTTTACTGCGCAAAGTAGTTATAGCAATGAACTTTAAGAATATTTAGCATGAAATGAGATGCTACTATACCATGCAATTTGACAAATTAAATGTGAATAAAGCAAGTTACTATGTGAAAATGATACCACCACCAGTTAAATGTATGACTCACCAGACAAGGCTTTACTGCGCTTGATTTACTATACTTAAAGTCGGGTGAATGTAGGGGGGGATGGCAGAACAATGTCCCATTAGTTGCAAGGTCGGAGACGATAGAATGGATTGAATTTTTAAAACACCTCTCCAGCACTGGCTTTAATCAGTATACATTACTTGACAAATATAGTTGCATGGTGGATTGATTTTGCAATTATTTACTACTGAGATTTTTTTTTTAGCTATGATTAATATCCAAATACATATTTTACGTAGAAAATGAGGGCTAGCATAAATTCCGGACTATAAGCCGCTACTTTTTTCCCTGTCTGAAGGCAGGCACGTCACGCATGCGCGGTGTACCGCGAGAAATGACCAAAACTTTAGCGTTCCTTGCTTACTAACCGACGCATTCTCAAGTCCAAGGCTCTCAAGTGTTCCTATTCAACCTCCCTGTCGCCGGTAGCGTCCTCACCCCCCCTCGTCAGCCGGCACACTATACTCACTACATAAATATAGACTACACCACTGCGGGCAACCAACCTGGCTGTCGGAGAAGGAAACAGAGCAGCTGCACATAAACTTGCCATTATTGAACCAATGGTGAGACGTTGGAGACTGCAATGTGAAGAACTCATGCATGGACGACTCTGCGTCAGCAGTCGTTTTTCTGCCACGTGGACACCTGTGGCTTATGGACCGGTGCGGCTTATATATGCACATTTTTTCGTTCTAGATTTAGGTCCATCCATTAGGTGGTGCGGCTTATTCAGGTGAGCATATGATCATATGCTTTCCAGATGCTATGACAGGTATCAGAAGAAGTTAGCTTGATGACTGTTACTCATGCTGGTTAGCAGCTGGCAGTAATGTTTGCAGGTGGGCGGACCATGGTTTACTATGACTGTAGTCACCATTAAACCATTATAGTTAAATCTGTAGTGGATAGTAGTCGGAGTAATTTATAGAATGGAAGAAGACCGACTACAAGGACTAAAGCAATAGTCATATACATCCTCTTACAAATGAGAAAAAGAGCCATTTTCCTTGATTTCCCTCCTTTGAGATTTTTGTATACATTTCGGGGTATTTGTGTATGTGGTGCCGTTAAATTATCTGAATGCTTGTGTGTGACCCTCTGCTTGGCAGGATATGGAGTCTTACTAGGCTTACAACCCTGGTGAAACAAAGTGCTTATCTCTTTAGGTGGTGACACACAGTGGCTGTAATGTAACATGTTGACAAATAAATCTTGAAATAATCACGCAAGCATTTGTTGGGTCTTCTACTTATCATGTTGATTAAATGTTATGTTCCTTAACTTAAATATTTTGCATTAGCGTGTTGGAGGATATTTATAATATGCCAAGAAATACAAATAAGGATAACCACACACTCATACACACATAGCAGATTACAGTATTCATGCAGTATTCCTTATTTTGCTGCGTGATGCACAGAAAGCTTCCTCCATCTGCTGCTCCACTATGAAATAGGCCACATAAATAATACCTTACATTCTTCAATCATGAAGGTACCCCACACCCTCCTCTGACACTATCTCACAATTCTCCCCCCACCTCTTCATGCATCCCTGCAGGACAGCGCCACAATGCAGTTCTGTGCCAACAAGCTAGACAAGAAGGACTTCTTTGGCAAGTCGGACCCTTTCATGGTCTTCTACAGAAGCAACGAGGACGGAACGTGAGTGCGTCTGTGTTTCAAAAGGCAGCTGGTAGTGCCGGTATCGTAATATCATAAAGGTTACCGAAGCATCATCTGCAAGAGGCTGCTACAGAGAACTGTGCAAAGGACTGTGCTTTTCCTAACTGATGCCAGTACAGCAAAATGGAAAGATTTATATAAAATGTTATTTTTAAAGCATCAAAGCAAGAATAAAAAAAACATCATCTGCATACGAAAAGCGCTGTCAGTTTCTGAAGCAATTCACAAAGTTTCCTGTCTCCTCATGTCTCCCGAGAGTGCCCCTAAAGGGCCTAGCAGTTGTGGCAGCGTCATCTCCGTCTATCCAGAGATGCTTTAGGAAGTGCTTCATTAGCTGTCTTCCTTCTTTTTTTCAGTATTTTTCTTTTATATATATATACATATATCCATCCATCCATTGTCAAACCGCTTATCCTGCATACAGGGTCGCGGATCCCAGGATCCCAGCCAACTTCGGGCGATAGACAGGGTACACCCTGGACTGGTCGCCAGCCAATCGCAGGGCTACACAGAGACACATTCACACTCACACATCTACAGGCAATTTAAAGTCCCCAATTAACCTGATCCCCAGAGCATGTCTTTGGACTGTGGGAGGAAGCCGGAGAACCCGGAGAGAACCCACGCAGACACGGGGAGAACATGCAGACTCCACACAGAAAGGCCACTGGGCAGAATCGAACCCAGGACCTTCTTGCTGTGAGGCGACAGTGCTAACCACCACGCCCCCTATATAAACATATATATATATATATATATATGTTTATACATATATATATATGTATATACATATATATACATATGTATATACATATATATACATATATATATATACATATATATATATATATACATACATATATATATGTATATATGTATATATATATATGTTTATATATATACAGTGGGGCAAAAAAGTATTTATTCAGCCACCAATTGTGCAAGTTCGCCCACTTAAAAAGATTGAGCGGCTTGTAATTTTCATCATAGGTACACGTCAACCATGAGAGACAAAATGAGAAGAAAAAAAACAGGAAATCACATTGTAGGAATTTTAATGAATTTATTGGTCAATTATGGTGGAAAATAAGTATTTGGTCACAGACCTGTAACTTCTTCTTTAAGACGCCCCCTGTCCTCCACTCGTTACCTGTATTAATGGCACTGGTTGGAACTTGTTATCAGTATAAAAGACACCTGTCCACAACCTCAAACAGTCACAGTCCAAACTCCACTATGGCCAAGACCAAAGAGCTGGCGAAGGACACCAGAAACAAAATTGCAGACCTGCACCAGGCTGGGAAGACTGAATCTGCAATAGGTAAACAGCTTGGTGTGAAGAAATCAACTGTGGGAGCAATTATAGGAAAATGGAAGACATACAAGACCACTGATAATCTCCCTCGAGCCGGGGCTCCACGCAAGATCTCACCCCGTGGGGTCAAATGATCACAAGAACGGTGAGCAAAAATCCCAGAACCACAGGGGGGGACCTAGTGAATGACCTGCAGAGAACTGGGACCAAAGTAACACACTGCGCCACCAGGGACTCTGCAGTGCCAGAAGTGTCCCCCTGCTTAAGCCAGTACACGTCCAGGCCCGTCTGAGGTTTGCTAGAGAGCATTTGGATGATTCAGAAGAGGATTGGGAGAATGTCATATGGTCAGATGAAACTAAAATATAACTTTTTGGTACAAACTAAACTCGTTGTGTTTGGAGGAGAAAGAATGCTGAGTTGCATCCAAAGAACACCATACCTACTGTGAAGCATGGGGGTAGAAACATCATGCTTTGGGGCTGTTTTTCTGCAAAGGGACCAGGACGACTGATCCGTGTAAAGGAAAGAATGAATGGGGCCATGTATCGTGAGATTTTGAGTGAAAACCTCCTTCCATCAGCAAGTGCATTGAAGATGAAACGTGGCTGGGTTTTTCAGCATGACAATGATCCCAAACACACCGCCTGGGCAACGAAGGAGTGGCTTCGCAAGAACCATTTCAAGGTCCTAGAGTGGCCTAGCCAGTCACCAGATCTCAACCCCATAGAAAATCTTTTGAGGGAGTTGAAAGTTTGTGTTGCCCATCGACAGCCCCAAAACATCACTGCTCTAGAGGAGATCTGCATGGAGGAATGGGCCAAAATACCAGCAACGGTGTGTGACAACCTTGTGAAGACTTACAGGAAACGTTTGACCTCTGTCATTGCCAACAAAGGGTATATAACAAAGTATTGAGATGTACTTTTTTATTGACCAAATACTTATTTTCCACCATAATTGACCAATTCATTCATTAAAAATCCTACAATGTGATTTCCTGGATTTTTTTTTCTCATTTTGTCTCTCATAGTTGACGTGTACCTATGATGAAAATTACAGGCCGCTCCAATCTTTTTAAGTGGGAGAACTTGCACAATTGGTGGCTGACTAAATACCTTTTTGCCCCACTATATATGTGTATACGTATATGTATATATAAAAACAGGGTGGGAAATGGATCCCCACAAATGTGTTGGTGCCAGAGGGGGATACAAATTAGATGTCTGTGCAGCCAAAGGACTAACCGGCTCGAGGCACCCTATGGAGCACAAGTAATCCAAGGCTTTGAGAAAAATGTATGCTGTCCCTTGCTGCTTTTTGAGAGGGTACTTGGGGGTATTTGTAGGAATTGATGTGGCCCAACTGTGCAAAACATTTCTGATAGCGGAGATACCCATTTGCATATCATTGTCATACTTGAGGTCAAAGGAAATGATTTAAAAGCCAGACTAAAATATAAAATTATTCTCTGGTCTAAAAGCCATAGAGAAGTATAACTGGGAGATAGGCCAGGCTGTAAACAAAGCTGGGTACATCCCTAAAGCATCTTACCAGTCACTGTAGGATTCGACATTGTCTTTCCTGTTATCTCTGTCTCTTTAGTTGCTTGATCCTCCTCTTATTTGCATATTTATCTCTCTACCTGGCTTATGTAATGAAGAAATAATAATATGCTTCTGTGTCTGCCTCTTTTTGAACACTCTTCTAGGTTTACAATCTGCCATAAAACTGAGGTGGTGAAGAACACATTAAACCCAGTGTGGCAGCCTTTCACTATTCCAGTACGAGCGCTCTGCAATGGAGACTACGACAGGTACAATGCAACCTCTGCCTGTTCTTCACACCTTCTGATCCCCACAGCTGCTGGTTTCCGTTTAACTGCTGGCTCCATTTATTGCCTCAATATTAACTTTATCACACACGCACACACACGTGCATTAAACCGCATACAATGTTGACCCCGTTGACATCTTCAGGCTTTATTGATTTCTGTTGGCTCAATTTGTCAAATTCATTCATGGTTCTAATTAAAGTTGCTCCGACTGACAGGCTGCATAATGATGGCAGGTTTTACTACACCCTGTAAGACAATAAGCTTAACCAGGAGAAATCAATCAACATGGTGCACATTATTTGCTGTTGTTGTGCTCATTATCAGGACATACAAGGAATTTGACTTGGCGGTTGGTGCACAACTGTAGACAGTTAGACAATGGACAACAAGACAGATAATACACTAAAATAAAATATAAGGCTATGTGCTTGAATGTACGGTTATGGGTTAGTTAAAAAAAATAAAGGAATAAAAGTTAAAAATAGAAAAGTTAAAAAATTGAGTGCACCAGGGAACAGATATCCATACTCTACACCACTCAGGCACCCCGTAGGATGTGCGAGCGGCCTCTAGGCGGTGTGAGAGAGGAAACGTAATGGTGCTCAAATGGAGTAATAATTCATATTAAATATAATTTGTAAAAAATCCATATGGTTTTTACACAAAATAGAGACATGATTTGTAAAACTACCCTTTTTAAGATTACAATTTCAAATTAAAGCTGCAAGCAGCGATGAACGGGCCTTCGCCTCCCCTTGCATGTCGGGGGGGGGCAGCGGCCAGTGGACGCGCAGAAAAAGAATATAAAGCAGGTCTGAGTGGGATTCGAGCCCAGGTCTGCGGCTTTGTAAACGGAACACATTACCACTAGACTATTGCCTTGCTGCCTTGTGATATCAAAACGTCAGTGAAATATGTAGGGTCATCTCCATTCAATCAAGGCAAAGAATGGGATCCATGGGAGCTATTCATTTTAAGTCATTATTTAGTTATTTATTCTTAAATATTATTGTTTAATTCTTTAGGTTGCTATAATTTTAAGATATATTTTTCTGTTTTCGTAGTCAATTTAGTTTAATCATTGTTTGTCATTAAGTATGCATTGTATTGGTTAATTGGACAACTAATTGATTAGGTAATACTGTGGGCACTTGGTTTTTTTTTAAAGTCCATAGCACGGTATAGGACCAGCATGCACCTGGGTGACACATCGTTTTTACCAGCATAGAACAGCGAGCCAGCACAGCGTCTAGGAGAGCAACGTGAGCAGTTTGGAAAGCAGCCACAGCTCAGCTTGAGCAGCATAGGAAAGCCGCTACAGCATAGGAGCCATGAGCTATATATTGTATGTCTTTGTAGTGAATGTGACTGCATAATTCACCTTTGTTCTTGTTTCGTGGTACACGCAATTGCGACTGTTCCGGGATCACGGTCCCTTTAAATGTTTTGTTATGTTGTGACGTAGAGTCCCTTGCTTGTGAGGTTACAGGGCTGCGCCATCTTGAGTGTTGTTATGGTAATAATAAACGAGACACACGCTGCTGTTCTCAACTCGCGGAATTGCCTTTCATTACAAACGCAACTTCCACACTGGTGACCCCGACGTTCGTTTGCTGGAAGTATTCGCAAACGCGACTCGACCATGACCGCGAACGCTGTCACCCTCAAGCTCCCCGAGTTCTGGGAATCGTCAGCGTCGGCATGGTTTGCCCAGACTGAAGCGCAGTTCGCGCTGCGGGAGATCACCGCTGATACAACGCGGTACTACTACGTTGTGTCGGCTCTCGGTAGCTCAACAGCGGCCCGAGTGGTGAGCCTCCTTAAACGTCCTCCAGAGACGGAGAAATATGCAGCGCTGAAAGCGCACCTGTTAAAGACTTTTGAACTGTCCGACGCCGAGAGAGCTAGCAGGCTTTTCTCCCTCCAAGGACTGGGTGACAGCAAACCGTCTGAGCTCATGGGACCGTATGCTGGATCTCCTGGGTGAGCACACACCCGATTTTCTTTTCATTCAGCTTTTCCTGCGTCAGCTGCCTTCCCAAGTCAGAGCTGCATTGGCCAACACCACAATCACTGACTGCCGAAAACTGGCTGAAGAGGCTGATAAATTTTTCCTGGCAAGCCAAGGACACTGTGTCGTGAGCGCATTTCTTCCCACACACGTCGCTCCTGTGACAATGGAGGATTCCACCCTTGTCGCAGCAACCTCTTCTCGTCGGCAACCATCTTCAGGTCGTCAGCAAGCTTCAGGCCCCCAGCAGTCTTCTTCAAGTTTGTGCTTCTATCACGAAAAGTTTGGATCGAAGGCCCTTAAATGCCGCTCGCCATGCAGTTTCGGCGGTCTGGGAAACGCCGGGGCCGGCGCTCATTAGTGGCCATGAGTGTCGGCCGCGTAGGCAGGCTGCTTTTTGTCCGTGACAGCATCTCCGGACGACGTTTCCTGTGCGACACGGGTGCACAGAGGAGTGTTCTGCCTGCATCCCGTTTGGACATGGTAACCGACAGCCATGGCCCCCCGATGGAAGCTGCTAATGGGACCCCCATCCGCACGTATGGAACAAGGTACATTGAGTTATGCTTCGGAGAACATCGGTTCGGCTGGGATTTTGTCACGGCTAAGGTCGCTTTTCCCCTCCTTGGCGCAGATTTTTTGTGTGCGCATGGACTGTTGGTGGATGTTAAGAACCGCCGTTTGATCGACGCTGTCACGTTCTGTTCTTATACGTGCACGCTCAGCGGGGCTGACTCCATACGACTGTCTAGCATGCTCTCCCCATCAGACGACTTCCACCGTCTACTGGCTGGTTTTCCAGAACTGACCCAGCCCACTTTCTCTGCATCTGCCGTGAAGCATGGTGTGGAACACCATATCGCCACCACTGGTCCGCCCGTCTACGCCCGTGCTCGGCGCCTCGACCCGACCAAGCTTGCCGTTGCTAAGGCCGAGTTTTCTAACATGGAACGCCTTGGAATAGTCCGCCGGTCCGCCAGCCCGTGGGCGTCACCTCTTCACATCGTCCCCAAACCTGGTGGCGGCTGGCGCCCATGCGGCGACTACCGGCGGCTTAATGAGGCAACAACGCCTGACCGATACCCAGTCCCGAACATACAGGATTTTTCAGCACACCTGGCTGGTATGGTGATTTTTTCTAAGGTGGACCTCGTCCGGGGCTACCATCAGGTGCCCATGCACTCACTGGACATTTCAAAAACAGCGGTGATTACACCGTTCGGTCTTTTTGAGTTCCTAAGGATGCCGTTCGGCCTTAAAAACTCAGCCCAATCTTTTCAGCGCCTCATGGACTCTGTTTTACGCGACCTGCCTTTTCTTTTTGTGTATTTGGATGACATTCTTGTAGCAAGCACATCCAAAGCTCAGCACCTGTCGCACCTCCGAGCACTTTTCGAGCGGCTCAACCAACATGGCCTTATTGTTAATCCTGCTAAGTGCCAGTTTGGTCTCTCCACCATTGACTTCCTGGGACACAGAGTCACCAAGGACGGTGCAGTCCCGCTCCCATCAAAGGTGGAGGCGGTCACACAGTTCCCGCGCCCGCTCACCGTGAAAGCCCTGCAGGAGTTCCTTGGCATGGTGAACTTTTACCACCGTTTCATCCCTCGAGCCGCTCAGCTCATGCAGCCGTTGCACGAAGCCTTGAAAGGTAAGCCCACGCACGCCGTGGACTGGACTGAGGGCAGGGACAAAGCTTTCGTGGACACTAAGGCAGCCCTGGCGCGGGCCACCATGCTGGCACATCCTTCGGCCACAGCCTCTGTCGCCATCACCTCGGATGCCTCGGACTACGCTGTAGGTGCCGTCTACGAGCAGTGGGTAGGCGGGGCCTGGCAGCCGCTTGCTTTCTTTAGCCGCCAGCTGCGCGCTAGCGAGCGTAAGTACAGCACTTTCGACCGGGAGCTGCTCGGTCTCTACCTCGCCATCAGGCACTTTCGTTTCCTGCTAGAAGGTCGACACTTCACCGCCTTTGTCGACCACAAGCCGCTGGTTTTCGCCATGGCCAAGGTGGCCGAACCATGGTCCGCCCGCCAGCAACGTCACCTGTCCTACATTTCCGAGTTCACCACGGATTTACAGCACGTGGCCGGTAAGGACAACCAGGTGGCGGACTGCCTGTCACGGGCTGTGGCAGGAGCAGTCCATCTCGGTCTGGATTACGGCCGCATGGCAGCGGACCAGACCACGGACCCGGACGTGCACACCCTGAGAACCTCGACTACAGGTTTGAGGCTAGAGGATGTGGTTTTCGATGAAGCCAAAACCACGCTTGTGTGCGACGTCTCCACAGGCAGTCCTCGGCCGATCGTTCCCACGGGGTGGAGACGACGTGTCTTCGATGCCATCCATGGTCTCTCCCACCCCGGTTCGAAAGCGTCACAGAGACTGGTGTCGGCAAAGTTTGTGTGGCACGGCCTAAAAAAGGACGTAAGGGATTGGGCTAACACTTGCCTTGATTGCCAACGGGCCAAAGTACACCGCCACACTAAAGCTCCGTTAGAGTTGTTCCCAGTGCCAGAGAGGCGTTTTGACCATGTTAACGTGGATCTGGTTGGCCCTCTGCCTTCCTCTCATGGTTTCACCTACCTGTTGACCATGGTTGACAGGACCACCCGTTGGCCCGAGGCAGTGCCACTGACATCGTTGACCGCTGTCGAGATGACCCGGGCATTTATCGGCACCTGGGTTGCCCGTTTTGGCACCCCTTCGGACATTTCCTCTGACCGGGGCGCGCAGTTCACGTCTGAGCTGTGGAACGCGGTGGCCCAGAGCCTCGGAACGAAACTCCACCGCACGACTGCATACCACCCGCAGGCTAATGGGCTCTGTGAGCGATTTCACAGGTCAATGAAGGCTTCTCTTCGCGCCGGCCTCAAAGACGGCAACTGGGTCAACAAGCTCCCGTGGGTGATGCTTGGCATCAGGACTGCACCGAAGGAAGACCTGCAGTCCTCGTCCGCGGAGC